TCTCTTCTCTTCTCTTCTCTTCTCTTCTCTTCTCTTCTCTTCTCTTCCCTTCCCTTCCCTTCCCTTCCCTTCCCTTCCCTTCCCTTCCCTTCCCTTCCCTTCTCTTCTCTTCTCTTCTTGCCACATTACTACTGCATAAACTCTGTTCCTTTTCCCTTTCTTAAATTTGACTCTGACAAGCAGTTACACCACGAAGGCTGGAAGAACAGGCAAAGGAAACAGCTGGAACTGTGACCAAAGGGCGAGGATGACTGATATTTCACACCTTTTTCTTTGGTTCATAAATCCAATTCCAGATTATAAGTGCTCATAACTGCCTACCTAAATTAATCACAGTCATAAATGTACATCATATCATGTAGCAGTCAGGCTTAATGGATTGTCTTTTACCACCACAAAGCTGTTTCTCTCAGCTGTTTCACCACAAACATTAATCTCAACCTCTTAATCAACCTTCTTTCATATGAGGTCTCACGTTACAAATTCCTCTCTTAGGTCTCTCATTTAAAGCCTTCTTTCATTTCCGCAAGACTGTTCAGCTCAGAAATTATTGTATCAACTTACTGAATCGAGATTTGTAATTTGTGGTTGCTCAACCCATTCCAATGAGCTAAAAACCTGCAGCATGTTCATGCAAGACACAATTACCTACTTTGAGATGCCAAGCCTCTTTATGTTCCATTGATGTGAACAGAAAATGAAGAATTTGAAAAAAAAATCTAGGCCAAAGCCAGGTTGGTTACCAAATAAAACTACAAGCATTAGCTTTCAGATTGGATGTGAAGCGACGCTGAAGTAGCGCCTATCAGCTTCTGGAAAATTCCTTTAAGAAGGAGGCAGGAAAAAAAAGGCAGGCTTTTGCTCATAATGTTTTATTGAAATTTTATCATGTTTTTAGCAGTGGACAGACACATCATGCTTTTCAGTTTCTTATTACTAACAGATTCGAGAAAGTATACAAAGTAGAAGATTTTCAATGGTTGCGTGCTGAAGATGGAACAAAAGGAAAAATATCCTAAGTCAAAGTCTTTTAGTCAACACAGGTCAACTTCTAAAGCTTTTACAAATATTCTTATTACTTTCATTAAAAGTTGCAAAAGTGAGGCATCCTGCATTCAAAATTACAACTGGTATGCCATGACCTTGCCATGAGTAAAAGTCATTTACAACAGAGAAAAATCTTTTGGAAGTCCTTCTCTCACGCCTCCTTTTGCTTTTTCAAAAAATAAATCAGTGTAAGTCATTATAAGTACATTTGATAATGTAGAAATTGAACCCAGTGAGAGAAATTATTCTACAACTTGTTCTCTGTAATTAAATCTGTCGTTTTGGTAAAGTACTACCAGGTACACATTGGAGTATATACTACTAAACTGTACTAAACACAGGGGGGCAATCCTTCCCTTTTACATCAGAGATTTAATGCAAGACAGCAAGCAAAATACTGAAAATCCTTTTACTATCATTTGTGCATTTTTGTATTTGTTTGGAAGGCGAATTGCAGCTATAGGAGAGGATGCAGTCAATCAGAAAGGTTATTTCACCAACAGACCATTCAATAGCAATAAACTGTTACCAAAGTGAGCAACATACCGGGTCTAGTAAACAGTGCCATATCTCATAAATTTTGCATGTATGGATATGCTTTGTGACAATGCATCCACAATCACCCTAGAGTTGAACTAACCTTCACATGGAAATAGTTGGCAAAGTAGTTTGCAAAATTATTCAACTGGAGCATCTCTGAAATATCTATAAAGCATACTGAAGATACTGGATAAAGTATGAAGTGTATAGCAATTATTCATGAAGGAACATTTTATGGCTTTATGGTTTGGTGGCTTTCAGAAAGAACCCTTGAAATATATTGCCAGCAAGTGATAAAATCACTAGCATAAGGTAGTATAGAAATTTTCTTGCTTCAGGTTGAATGACCTTTCCCAAATACATTCTGTAGATAGAACTTGTTTTAAAAATGGATTAATTTAGCAGTAGCAAGCATGACAACTTGTTCTAATAGAATATGCATTGTTAGTTTTCCCTTTTAGGAAGGTTTCATCTATGGGAGTGCATGTCTCTCTCTATAGGATCTATTCACACACTGATTTAATAACTGCTTTCCCTTCCTGCCCAGAACAGCCTGGGTTTCTATCACAAGTGGTTTATGTTATCTCTTAAATTCAGTTTGCAGCACTTTTGATCTAAGTACCCCCACCATGTACGGGATTTATACACGTTTCATGTTAGGTAATCCGCATAACTAATCCTAATTTGGATGTACTTCTTTCAAAATGATGGACAATTGTGGATTTAATTTAAACCCTCTGACACTTACTTCTCAGTCTGGCGTGCGAGTGTTTGGCAAAATATTTTTGGACACGTCATCAGAAGAATTATCTGTTTGTACATACACATCAGTAGAGATATCTGTGAGTTAGAGATTTACATTTTCCAGTTGAACGTTAGAACGTTCTGTGAAATGCCTAATTTTCACCTGCTTTTTTGAGTTGAAAGACATTGCTCTTTGTTATGTCAAACTCCCATAATTTTCTTTTGAGCTTTTACAGATGTCTCCCTCCCATTTGTCACCTTCCTCTCAGCTGGTTGTGTTAAATCCATAAACTGCTCTATCTGTAGACCCTCTAATCTTTCCATCATCTTTGTTTCCTTCGCTGGGATTCCTTTTAATCTGTGATTTTTAACACTTTTCGGTACATACAACTGTGACTCATTCAAGTTTAGATGGAATTATGAATGTTAACCTCCATAGGTAATACAGCTCTGACAGGCATTATATATATTACACTATAAAATTATCCCAAACTGCAGATAGATACCTTTATGTAAACATTATGGGTATAATGCTAATAAAAGCCACAGAATAAAATCCCAGCCCTCTGAAATCACAGAGGGATTCTTCTCATCATCATCAACGTGGTCAACATTACTATGTAGGTTTTTTTACAGTGGAGTCAGCCTTCTGTTTTGTAATCTATCATTTTCAGTCAATTTGCCAGTCCAAAATCGAGTTTGCGTGTAATATATTTATAACGCAGGGACACAAATACTCTGAAAGACTCATTCACGAGTCTCTTTGCCAAAATCTGATAGAAAGGAAATTTATCTGACTGCAGAATTAAATTTCTAGCTCTTGCCTTCATCCCATTGAGATTTACAAAAGAAAAACAGGAAACCAATCAAGTTCTTCACATGAATAGCAGCAGACAGTTCTGACAGTCTGGCATGCATAGCTTCTCTCTCCCTTGCCCTCAAGAACTTATTTCACTTCACTACAAGATTTCCTAAGTCAACAGCAACTTAGGAATTAACTTGAATTAACTTGGATTTCTTTTGTTCTTCTGTTCTTGTGATGTCTCTGCTACATCAGTGAATCTGTAATCATTGTAGTTTGATTCTTCTTTCTTTATATCTTCCTTCTTTTAACATTTGAATCTTTTTCTTTTCTTTTCTTTTTTTTCCCCTTTCCAGAATTTGCAACTATGGTGGCTGAATCATAAAGGCTTTAAGCAATGCAAACCCTTCACCCATCCTTCACTGCCCAATTCCAACCACCTCCCGCTGACTGCTTTGGCTCCTGTTCTATTTATTTATGTTATTTTATACTCCAGCTCTGTTCTCCGCAATCCTGCAACTCTGTAACTGTGCTGAAAGACACTGTTAAAATAATAAAGGTCACATCAATCTGGGCTCCACTCGCTCTCACTATCACTTGTTTCTTATTTCATGTAGTCTTGGCAGACGTTGAGTGAAAATTTTCTTTATTTTATTTATTTATTGCTGACACCCCTGCTTCTTTGGGATAATTATTTGGGATAAAACTTGCACAAAATGAGTCATTCAGTCCAGGCTCTGAATTGTGGCAGAACTGACTGCATTATTTTTAAGCCATAGATGGATGCATACTCATAGCCTGGAAAATCACTAGCAATGGCAATCACCCAACTTCATTTGGCAGTTTGTTCTTCTGACTTAATCAGTTGTTATAGCTAAAATGAATTTCCTACATGTTAACCTACATCTTCTTGATGCATTTCGGTGACTGGTAAACTATTTGTATAGTTTGCTAAGTCTGCCTCATGCAGGGGGATTTTAAGATTTGACAAGAGTATCAGTAGTTGCTCATCATGCACAGGGATAACTTTGTGAAGTGTTAAAGTGTGATCACTTTTGAAACACAGGGTATATTTATTAGCAGTGTTATACAAGTACCTGGGACAGAAAGGATGCATTACTCAAAAGAGACAACATTACGGATGTGAGGAAAGGAGCATCAAGATTTGGCTGTGATGCTAATGCTGACATTCCCGCTGTTAAAATGGAGTATCAAATACGTTTATATTAAAAAGTGTATCTTCTACAACTATCAAAAACAGTGAACATCTTTCTTAGAGTTACATATAGGAAACTGAGATTCAGACTACAGAAGCAAGTAGCCAACAGTAAGGCTATGACAGAACAAAGAACCAAATGCTTCTTTCCCAAATTTTTGTCAGTAACTTTGAAACAAATCTACTGCTTTTTTCTTTCTTTCTTCCTTTCTTCCTTTCTTCCTTCCTTTCTTTCTTTCTTTCTTTCTTTCTTTCTTTCTTTCTTTCTTTCTT